TCCTTCAAGTGACTTTGTTTCCATTCTATCCTCCATAAATGAAAATGTAATATGTAATCAAGGGCTTTATGTAAAACATGCTGTTATGCCTTATCTGAACTGTAATTTATTCCATGAAATGTCTGTAACATGTGCTGCATCTTTGACTTTGACTACTACCATACCTGATTAGTGACATTCTGAGTCTTATTTTTCCCTGACTAGGGCACTGTTCCTCAAAGCGATCGTAGCGGCTACGACTGTCGTAAGTCTATGTTAAAGTATGGGAGTTACGATCATCTTAGCGCTACGATCGTTTTGTGGAACGGGGGCCCAAACCCCTAAATTTCCCTGACTTAAACCCCAAATTCCCTGACTATTCCCTGACTTTTGAAAACATATCAAAATTCCCTGACTTTTCCCTGACTTTCAGAGAAATGCCAAATTTCCCTGACTTTTCCCTGACCTGTGGGAGCCCTTCCCACTTTGATAGAATCATTCGTGAATCATCATATACGAGTCCAACAGCGTTTAATGATCCAACATAATCATTAATATATAAAGATGGTACGATCCTTGGTTTCAAAGACTTCAAAAATCAAGCAAATTGCTATGCAATAGAATTACTGGATCACGATTTATTCCCGAATTCAGTATTCCAAGTCACTTGTCGCATATATACAGATTTAGTGCAAACATTTACTTTGTTATTACACAGTGGCATAGGCAGCGTACATATCTGCTGGACACAATTACTTAAAATTATACCTGAATAAAATTAATTCGATGCAAAATTAAGTATGATTATGACAGCTGCCGAGAAATTCGTTTCAACCGAACACTCATTAATTATCCAAATATTTTATTCTGTGTAGTTTCCTTTTAAAATTACCAGCGGTGTAGGTCGTATTATCCTTTCGTCAAAAACAAATAAATATCAACACAAATATCGATTAAACAAGAAATAAGCAAACCTTCTCCTCTTCTTGAGAAAGCGATGCGGCCATCTTACACCGGAAATACTCACTCGACATGCATGTAGCAATTTCTGTAAAACTACTCTGCAGTGCGAGGCGGTTGGGACAAATGACGTCAAACGAAGTTTCGTTTGTTTCCGGCATTTTTGTGTGTACATATGATACTTTTCAAAAGTACCAATCATTTGCTTTCGATTATATTTTAGCAACTTAGAAGGCACGATCAATACACCAACATTACATACTTCTATATTATGTACAGGGACGATCAATGTCAGTGCAGACCGTGAATAGATTTGGCAACAAAAAAATCAAACATAATTAAAACACAATTTTCACTTATTCATGACATATAATATACATTGCTGGTTATGAAAAAACATATCAACAAAATTATAAGCGTACAATCGCAAATCAAAAGTGCAATATTGCGTACTTGGGTTTACTTCCCAAGAAACGAAGCAGCCGGGATACCGAACCCAGTCAGAGCGGGTGGGTGTGCACTCAAGTGTAACGGCTGGTTCATTTGCAGATGCCCTCACGGCTCATTGTGTGTGTGTATATATAGAGATGTTGGGTTTTGTAAATACATGCTCATTTTTTGTGTATAACATTTTGCAATCAACAGACATCATAACATGTCATGTGTAAAAGTATCACACCTGCCTGTCTGTGTAATTACATAATGTGACAGAACTCGGGCCATAAATCAATGCGTTTTGTTTATGGTGTATAGCCTGATTGGTGTTAAGTTCAAATTGCATGTGGTCAGTGATCGCAGTTGTGTATTGAATATTGTCATTAGCAGACAGGCAGGCAGACACACAGGTGTCAATAAAACAAGACATTGAGTTTTGTCTGTGACAACGACATATCTATATCACAGTTAGAAATTCTGTCAACGCAAAATAATGACATTGCTTTTAAGTATCGAACTGAGAAAGTGACTCGGTAAGAAGAACGTGTGGTGAAATAGACAAATGGAAATATATAAACAGTTTATTTACTGTCATAACATATAAAAAGCTCGCGCCTGTGAGATATCAACAAAACATTAGGAAAATAGCTCAAACCAAAGTCTTCACCGAGTATTCACCGGACAGCCCGCTTCCAAGCTGCGCGAACCTATTTCACTGCGCACGTGCTATGAGCGCAGCCCAGCTGTTGAAACCAGTTTTCCCCCCGAAAAGTCGGGGGGAAATTAGTGAATCGTTTGAACTCCGATTTCTCGCGGGTTTTTTCATCGCATTATTTTTCAACTTTATAAGTTGAATTTGCATTTTTTGATGATTTGTTTCGGTAAGTCCATACCGAAAGGTATCAGAATCTGCAAAGCTGTGTTTTACGTTGCATGTGACCTTTAACATTTCAACCCATGCGGCTATATGTGTGGTGAAAATTATTCAGAAGCCAGTTGTTATCTGCTATTGTTGTTTTGTTTCTTGTCTTGTATTTCGTTAAAGTTTCACATGGTTTTTGGGTTGTTTTTTGTTTTTTTGCTTTTGGTTATTTTGATAAGCCTACGTATTTCTGTGCTCAACAAAAACAACAACGAGTAAATACCTCACAGTTTGACAGTGGCATCATGAAACACTTCTAACAATCTAACAACGAGTAAATAGAGTTTTAACATATGTTATATTTGGGAATACACTCTCTTAATAAACTACCGATTCTAGTAATTTTGTTGGGTTGAGTCCCACCCGGGATTCGAACCCACACCCTCAGTCATGCACCTAATCGTAAGTCGCCTAACCCGCTCAGCTACCGCAACTTTCACTATTTTTCAACCGAACAAAAGTACCAGAATATGTAGTTTACAAAGAGTGAGTGAGTTTAGTTTTACGCCGCACCAAACCGAAACATGAGTCTCATCACCTATTCAGACAATGACCTACTTTTCAGCCGATTCGAATTTTTTCGTGTGAAAGTGAAAAGAGACACCACAAACAAATATGATTACACTGAATTCCAATTCCTTGTTTCATAAGAAAATGGTATTAACAAGTTAATTTTAATTTTAAACTTTAATAACATCATATTTCTATATTTTATGGCGAGGTGTAGGCAGCAAGACGTCACAGACTGCCCTTGTTTGATGAGGTCGTAAAATGATTCACAATTCATCTGGCTCACTGGTTACACCTGTTATGTGGGTTTTTTTGCGCTTATTCAGCGTAGATTTATAACGCACAATGTGATTGACATAATATCAAGTCCGTACCAGACCACCAAACTTTTCTAGCGGCAGAGCTTCGTTTTGAGATTTCCACTATTTCCAAATTCCGTTTGTCAGAGTACGCTGTACGACACAGCACGCTGCACGACGTGTTTGCAAGGATTAGAAGGAGCGTAGTGTTGCGATATACAAGTGGTTAGATGTATCAAATAATACTGATTAATATTTATGTATCCAGTTGAATGAATTGGTCTCAAAATTCTGGACTGGTTATTGTACTAAGTTGCGCAATAGGACGGAAGCCAGTCAGCAGGAAACGAGACTTGTGTAATCAATGTTTTGACTTGCAGCAATATTCCAGCTATATGGCGGCGGTCTGTAAATAATCGAGTCTGGACCAGACAATCCAGTGATCAACAGCATGAGCATCGACCTGCGCAACTGGGAACCGATGACATGTGTCAACCAAGCCAGCGAGCCTTAACACCCGATCCCGTTAGTCGCCTCTTACGACAAGCATGGGTTACTGAAGGTTCATTCTAACCCGGACCTTCACGGGTTAATTACTAAGAAAAGTGTAATCCCGAATTTAACATATGTTACATTTGACCACTTTCTAAATGGCATTGTGTATTCATAAATAGAGTTTTGTCGCTTCTGTTTCAAAGAAACCTCGGGTTCTATTAGACAGGTTTGCCTACCCTACAAGCGCTTGCGCTCCTCGACGCACCAATGTGTAGTCCTCAGGAGGCAAAGAGCCTCGTCTAAGTTTCCGTGAGAACCAACTGGTTATAACCATCCAGTATCTCTAAATGTTTCATAAATAACATGAAATGCGAGATATATTTCTTCTTCGCCCGAATGAATTAAAAAAATATAGACTCTTCATTAAGATTGCATGTTCATTATATATATAAACACGACTCATTGGAAAGGGTATTGGCTATTGCTCGATGAATTGAAACGATGTCTTTGCATTTCAATATGCAAATAGTGTAAATTAAAACTGAATCATGTTCTTTTTATTTGTGATCAGTATAGAAACCTTAAAAGCAAAAACATACATAGTTAGTTCACGAAAAAAACCTTCAAAACATAATCTTGACCGGCTATTGTCAGCTGCTAGCTAAATATTAATTGAAAATATTGCTTTGTTTCTTTATCGTGCTCTTATTAAGAGGAGTCCACTCTGCTGTTAAACACTCTATTTACGTGTACTGTGGGCCTGTGACCTTCATTTCTGAATGAAGACATACACACCTTACAATTCTGAAGGACAAGCATGGGTAATAGATAAACACATATGCATATGACCATTTTGTTTGCATTTTTGTTTTGAATATTGTTTCTTTAAGTATGTTCAAATAAGACAATCATCGTGACATATCTTTTTGTAAAGATATTTAAAAGATCAGGAGCGTGTGAGGAAACAGTTTTTTTGTGGACATTTATGGTATGTGTATATTTATGTGACGCTTCAATCAGTTTGGTGGTGTATTTCATTTTATCTTCTTTTTCTTACGATCAAACCATGATATTTAGATTGATTTAATTTTTGCGATACTCTAAAATTTAATATCTAACACACGTGCGATATCACCGCCGTAGTAAATGGAGAGTGCATCAAAGTCAGCCAATACAATGAATATCTAATCAGCCTTTAAGTAGACGTAAGGATAGTAGTATATGAATCTGCGTCACGACCTATCCTCATAATATGAATCAAGCCAAGTTATAGCCTTTTTTCAAAGAAAAGGTTGAAAATGGTCGTTTATAAAAAGAAATGATCAGATAATTCCCCGATGGAGATATCATTAGAAATATGTTTATTTTTTACGACATGCCAAATGCCCTGCTCACCCGTGACGTCATAATCATATCGCCATATTTAGCTGCGCAGATAGTACAAAGAAGACTTTTCTCTTTCATTTTCACTTTCAATTTAGTTTCTCCAGTTCTTTTGTTGTTACGAATTTCTGATAGAAGTTGGAGAACAGATGATGGCACAGAGCCCAGCCGGCAGTGCTGTGAAGGCTTTACAACTCGAACTGAAGAAAATACAGGAAGAGCCTGTGGAAGGATTTCGAGTAAAACTCATTGACGATGACAACTTGTTCGAGTGGGAAGTGGCAATATTTGGACCCCCAGGCACTCTTTACGAGGGGGGATATTTTAAGGTTGTTAGAAAATTCCTTATATATCGTTATCAATGTTATTTTTGTCTAAAGTAGTGCAAATAACTTCTTGATTGCAAGGCCAGTCTTTGTTTTCGTAGTCGCTCTGTTATTGGCCATTGTTTGTTTACATCTGACTAACACGAGACAGGCCACTTCCGTTTGCATTTTACTTGATCGTGGAACTTACAGTTTAGCTGCATTGTGCAATTTAGGGATTCAGTGATAAGATATCCTATTTTGGCCACTGGTTTCATTTGCAAAATGTCCCCACGCTAATGTCTGTCTTGACAAAACATAGCAATGACATGAAGGTTTTCCTTTGTTGGTAACATAGCCGTAGTCAAGTCAGCAAAACATTACCAGTGTACATTCTTCAGCTGTATCTCTTGATAAATATTTGTCTTCCCCAGAACTGATTTCTGAGGTAGTTTACGCAGAATTACTACAAAGAAAAATGTTATAGTAGCTACTCAGATATATTTTCTCTTGCTGTGAAATTTATTATCATAATGTTCTGTTATTATTGTATATTGTGGATGGATGCAGCCTAAAAGGCACCTCAGCATCAGGGCACAGATTTTGCTGGGACAAGATAGCACTGCTTCTCACAATTACTGACAAATTGTGTTAATGGCGTTTCACATTCTTTTAAAAGACAAACAGAATGTTTTATGTAGTAGTCAATATGCATTTTTCGTTGGTAATGTTTTCCTAATTATTTCTAATCTATTCATCATCATTACCTATTGAGTCTATTTCATCATTGTTCACCACTGGGTCGGTGGGGTAGCCCAGTGGTTAAAGCGTTGGCTCGTCACATGAAGACCCGGTTCAAATTCCCACATGGGTACAATGTGTGAAGCCCATTTCTGGTGTCCCCCGCCATGATGTTGCTGGAATATTGCTAAAAGCGGCGTAAAACCAAACTCAGTCAGTGTTCACCACTGGTGGCATGGCATTTCACCTTTGTGAATGCTGTTGGTTCCAATGCCACGATTTGGACAGTAATTGTGGCATTATGAACATTCAAATGTGAACTCTGCATTATGTTATACAGTTCGATTTCTTTAAGTCAAAAACTCTTCCATCTGTTTATGTATCCCCAGCTTGAAGTTGAAAACTAACATCAAATGTGAGATAAAGTCCACTGTTCTCAGAATAAGGCATGGTAAGACTTCCGCCCGTATCCCCCCTAAATTATAACGATGAGGAAATATATCTTTCAGTGACATTTTTAGAATTCGGATATGTCTTTTCAGCATGTTCAGATACAATCAAAGAATCATGTTAGAACTCATCGTCATTCCTCATCGGAATATATATTCAGGTCATATGATTTGACTTGAATGAAATATAAGGGGGGATACGGGCGGAAGTCTTTCTGACACATTTTAGTTTGATTTCACAATTATCTATTGGAATTTGCCTGTAAGTGTGTACTTGTAATTTCAGTGATCGAAATAGTGCTTTATTTGTGTGCCATGAGATGGTAAATATTGAAATGGCAGGGAAAATATTGAAATGACACAGATGAAATATTTTCACAGTGCCTTGGCAGCACACCTAAAATTATTCTAATAATACCCACCATGATTCATTTTTAGAGGAAGGTGTGAAACATATGACCAATTCAAATTATGAAAACCAGTTTTTGCAACCCATGAAACTGTTTATTGGCACACTCACTCTCACAGCTTAACATGGGCATGGTCATATATATCACCATGATTATGAATGAGTCAAATATTGGTATCAAATGTAAGTGTAGTGTTTCTTCTGTAAATTCCTCTATATCTGAATGCTTCCTTGTTGGACAGCAGCATTGATTATCTGATTTCGTGTATAGTTCAAAGGGTCATGCAGAGGTCAGGCATCACTACAACCTGGTGAGCATTAGTCTGTATCCAAGACGAACACAAGTCAAAGCCTTTCACTGTAACAAAATCCATTACTAATAAGAGACATTTGGTCGTTGAGCAGATGCTTCAAAAAGGAAAAGAATGCATGATTTGTTGTAAAAAATATTGGATTATGTCTTTGGTAGTTGTGTTGTATTAGAGAAAGAAGTGTTTGCACTGTTAGAAGATAACATTTTTAATGTTTCTACATGACCTATAAAGAACCATTTAACTATAGTCTTACATGTTCATGTATTAATAGTAAAACTAACATATACTTCATCATGGATGTGAGGTGCAAATGTTTTTAGTCAAATCAATTTTCAGTATGCCTTACCAGTCTGTGCCAAATACATGAATCTACGGGCTCAAACCTTTCTTTCTTTAGAATTTCTCATATTTGTTTAGAATTTTTCATAGATGTTTAGAGTTATAACTTATGTGAACTTACAAAAACTCCCCAAATCTAAATGAGCATTATAACTTCTTTACCCCACCAGAATTCATGTTTGAAGTAAAACTCTTGTTATGATTACTTGAACAATTTTCTTTCGGAAAGGGAAATACTAGGGGACACACTGTATTTTTTTTTTATATACATGACCTTAAACCAAACATATGTTCTATGAGCATGATAAAGAGCATAAAATGGTGGTCCTTTGTCTTGCTCAAAGAACATAGAATAGATCTCTACCAGATCCTTGAGAACAAATGAACATTATCAGCTCAACATGCCCAAGTCCTGAAACACAAATTATAGGGCAAGTCTGTATTGCATCAGGTAAAATTAACAATTATGGTCTATTTCAGGATTTGTTTTACTCAGTATACCAGTTCTCAGAAGAAAAACATTGCAATATGTAACATTTGAAAAGCATATGGCAGTATAGTTTGGAATCCTAGATAAATCCAGGGATAAACATGATCGAGTGCTCCTGCAAGAAATTATTTTCTTATGTTATTATATAATGGTTATTTTTGATAAAGACATCAACCTTTAAATATGACTATGAGATGTTGACAATGGAATCAACTTGCTTACCCACAAGGAAGACTCTTTGACCTGGTGATACTGTAATAGAGCACACTAGTCCTTGGTTGTCCATGATGACTGTGATCGGGAGTCTCATGTTAGTTTCATTTTAATGTGATTATTATTAATGAAGTGGTTGTGAATAGCGTTCTTGATGCCTATAGTGATCATTTAATTATGTATATGTTACAGGCTCACATGAAGTTTCCACAAGACTATCCATATTCACCGCCAAGTGTCAGGTTTATATCCAAGATGTGGCATCCCAATGTGTATGAGGTAAGTTAAATGGCAACACAACAGCTTTTTAACTGGCTAAGGCCATGCAGTTGTGTTCACTGTAGATTGTGGCATTGTCACATGTTTCAACATACTCAGTTTCATATATAAGTCGGGGGTGGTGGGATAGCCTAGTGGTTAAAGCGTTGGCTCATCACACCGAAGACCTGGGTTCGATTCCCCACATGGACACAATGTGTGAAGCCTATTTCTGGTGTCCCCCACCATGATATTGCTGGAATATTGCTAAAAGCGGCATAAAACAAAACTCACTCAGTCAGTCATATATAAGTAAAAAAATCTCAATAACATTTCCAATACAAAAACATTATACACTTTTAACAAAACCATCCTTCATCAGGGCCATGGTATTCTCTTTGCCCAGCTAATTACATCAGAAATAATGATAACTGTATCTGTAGTAGGCTCCATCTCATTGTGTGACGGGGTGGTGGGGTAGCCTAGTGGTTTAAGCGTTGGTTCATCTCGCCGAAGACCCGGGTTCGAATCCCACATGGGTACAATTTGTGAAGCCCATTTCTGGTGTCCCCTGCCGTGATGTTGCTGGAATATTGCTAAAAGCTACGTAAAACCAAATTCAGTCAGTCAGTCATTGTGTGACCCCTGATTCAGTGATTGTCCTCTCAGATGAAATGAGGTGGCCACATTTTCTAACCAATCGTTGAAAGTTCATTAAAGCTGAAGACATTCAGTTGTAATGGATGAACCTCCGACTTCCTTTCATAATTCAGCAAACAGATCATTCAGACTTAATTATTTTAATTAAAAGCTCAAACAATTCAGCCTCTTTTGGTTTTATTGCTATACAGTTTTAGCTGGCAATAATCAACCCTTGTTTGTTTTTAATAATCAGCGAGCAGCTTGGTAAGAAACTGTGGCTTATTACATGAAATCATAGTAAGTAGAGACGGTCAGGCTGTAAACTTTCAAAATGTATGGAACCACCCCAGTCAGTGTTTGAAATAGCCACTGGCCCTCTAGCACGTGGCTAGTAAAAATCCAGTCTGGCTAGTAAATCTCCACAGTCACTGGCCCGAATGGCTAGTGAAATTTCATGGGGTCATTTTTTAAATACATGTATATTTTATCATTCTCTCCGACTTGTTAAGTTATAATACACTTTTAAATCATGCAAGATTATGGCCTGATAAAAATGTTCATCATATTAGCAGTTGAGTGAATAATTTTGTGGGCTAGTAACTTTCAGGCATTGCAAGCCTGTCTGGCTAGCAAACTTTGGAAACTATTTCACACACTGACCCCAGTCATCTTGCATAGGGATCACTTATCCATCACTCACATACACATGGGGACACACTTGCCCAATATGTATTTTATCTTAGTTGTAGGGGGATGCGTTACAATTCTACTGAAAGCAATAATGAAATATATATTCACACAGATGTATCACTGAAATATAGGCAGAATAAAGTGAAATCATTGTCTTGTTCATAGCACCTTTGTTCCCCATACAGTAATATGGTGTTGATGTCTAAGAGTCTGTCCAGCTGTCTTCATTATACAGTAATATGGTGTTGGTGTCTGTCTGTCCAGCTGTCTTCATCATACAGTAATATGGTGTAGGTGTCTTCATCATACAGTAATGTGGTGTTGGTGTCTGACAGTCTGTTCAGCTGTCTTCATCATACAGTAATGTGTGTTGGTGTTTGACAGTCTGTCCAGCTGTCTTCATCATACAGTAATGTGGTGTTGGTGTCTGACAGTCTGTCCAGCTGTCTTCATCATACAGTCATGTGGTGTTGGTGTCTGACAGTCTGTCCAGCTGTCTTCATCATACAGTAATGTGGTGTTGGTGTCTGACAGTCTGTCCAGCTGTCTTCATCATACAGTAATGTGGTGTTGGTGTCTGACAGTCTGTCCAGCTGTCTTCATCATACAGTAATGTGGTGTTGGTGTCTGACAGTCTGTCCAGCTGTCTTCATCATACAGTAATGTGGTGTTGGTGTCTGACAGTCTGTCCAGCTGTCTTCATCATACAGTAATGTGGTGTTGGTGTCTGACAGTCTGTCCAGCTGTCTTCATCATACAGTAATGTGGTGTTGGTGTCTGACAGTCTGTCCAGCTGTCTTCATCATACAGTAATGTGGTGTTGGTGTCTGACAGTCTGTCCAGCTGTCTTCATCATACAGTAATGGTGTTGATGTTTGACAGTCTGTTGTCTTCATCATACAGTAATATGGTGTTGGTGTCTGACAGTCTGTCCAGCTGTCTTCATCATACAGTAATGTGGTGTTGGTGTCTGACAGTCTGTCCAGCTGTCTTCATCGTACAGTAATGTGGTGTTGGTGTCTGACAGTCTGTCCAGCTGTCTTCATCATACAGTCATGTGGTGTTGGTGTCTGACAGTCTGTCCAGCTGTCTTCATTATACAGTAATGTGGTGTTGGTGTCTAAGAGTCTGTCCAGCTGAAAATATCGTATTTTTGGATTGCATTACAGTATATTGAACCGAAGGCAAAATACCGCGGTTCAACTAATACTGCAGTATACCGTTTCACCCCCATGGTGAAGACTTGTCAGTATCTGTTGAGAGGTGAGTCATGACTGTCTTTTGTTTCATGTGCCCAGAACGGTGATGTGTGTATCTCCATCCTGCATCCACCAGTAGATGATCCTCAAAGTGGAGAGCTGCCATCAGAAAGATGGAACCCAACACAGACTGTCAGGTAGTAGAAGTGGATTATCACATCTTTATACCACCAACCAATAGGAATCAACTTTAGAATTAGTCCCTAGCAACCTGTGCTTGTCATAAGTGGCAACTTAGTGGATTGGGTAGTCAGATTCAGTGCATACAATTCTAGAGTGACATCTTGGTTTGTTGCCCATGTCAGTAAGTGGTTTGTCTGCTCCAAAATGAAATATTTACAAGTTGTTATATGGCTGGAAGATTGTAACATTTAGCAGTAAATTCAACAAAAAGGAAAAAAATTCTTACTTGCTTACTGCAAGTTACAACAGGAAAACATATCATGTTGAAGAATAAGGATGTAAAATATTCAAGATGTTATCAGCTAATTGAGAGGTGTCCTTTACCTTGTAACACACAAAGTGGCATAATCTGGTTACTGTGTTCAGTGTCAATGATCAATACATAAATAGTACCTTCATATTTGAACAGTCACAACAGGGTGAATGCTTTTCAAAATACAGTTTTACAGAATTAAACAAAAGACTGTGTTGCATGCATGCATGCTTTCATGCGCATTAAACAAAAGACTGTGCTGCATTCCATGCTAGTCTGAGACAACTTTATGAAAAGCATGTATCACAATGACTTGTGACATATTGTGCTGGGATAGGTCCCTGGACAGTACTACTGTACATACTTTACCCCTTGTGTGGGTATGTGGGTCAGTGTTTGTCTTTCAGGATGCCAATGCCTGTGTTCAATGTACACCAGTCGTCATTGTTGACCTCCAGCAGCACAGCAGCCACAGAGAGCCATGGATAAGCCCATGTCTTCCCCCACTGGACATGTCTAGGGCACTGTGACAGGAGGGGATAGCCTCATTCAAATTACTGTTGAGAGACACCTGCAGTGTCATTACTAAGCAATAGAGACATGATTGCAGTCATACCTAGCGATAAGTTAATCCAATCCAATGAAATGAATGACAAACATAAGTTCCAAGTCTAGGAAGATTGTTGTAGCATGTGTTTTCGGACATAAGTTTGCAGGTGGCAGTGTTCTCTCACCCTAACAAGGTATGTTGCATCACTGAAAGATAAAGGTGTCTTATAAAGGTTAATGCTGTGTTTCACAAAAGCCTCTTCATATTGACATTTATGTCAAAAGCATTCCCAATGGAGGTCAAGCTAATGTACATGACATTTTCTGCATTTTGTCAAATGAGTGGCTTACACATCTTCATTTATATTAATTATCTTGTATTTTATGTAAGAAAAGGTGTATTTAAAGATCCATGAGCTTTAGGACTACCCTGTTTCATCTTAATTTTCATATGAGAACTGCATGGATTTCAGGGCTTACAGATACAGTGCATACCGTTGAATCTGAACTTATATCATTCACCGAAGAAATCCCAAAATGTGGCGAAGTTCATCCTGCATATTTTGTTTTTGATTAAACCGGGAACCATGAACTGAATACCTGAACTACTGTATATATATAAAAAGTGTGCTGAACATGTTGCCTTAGCATGTAAATCTGATTGGTTTGCATGGTCTTTTGGAATATTTTTACTATGGTAGCCAGTCATGGATCATTAAATTTAGTCCTAACAAACTAAATTTTTTTTATACATAACCAAGTTCTTTTAGACTGTCTAGATCTGCCTCCTAGACAGATGTCTCAAAATGCACATGTGATGCAGGGAACCCAAAACAGAAAGTCAAGTCTGTTTCCATTTCTTTCCTCCATGCTGACATCATTGTACCTTCAACTTTCTGCACTCAATCTGCCTTTTCACTTGAAAATAAATTACACTTGGTACTTTTGTTGAACTATGCAAGACAATACCCCTTTTTGCAATATGCCATTAATACAGGAATTCACTTCAATGTGATGTAGAAGACTGTACTGTAAACTAAGGGATATACCTTGGAGTCTCAGCGCTGACATGGCAGCTCCAAGTCATTTGTTCGTGGCTATAGATAACAGGGAAATCACATACGACTTTGTTATGATTTAAAAAGTTTGAATTCAGTACCTTTACAGGAATGAATAGTAGCTTAATCTGAGGTACCCAAACACATTCATATGTTTTGATCAAGTTAATGACTACTAACACGTTATTTCACTGCATCTTGCCCACAGCAGCAAGGCTCCGTATGCCATGTCATGCAGTAAGATAATAGTGACCACACTTGATGTTATGATATCAAATTCTGAATCAATACTTTTAGGACATATACTGGAATAGCAGTTGCAAAAAGATGTCATAAAGCTAAAAAAACCTAGTGGCTAATGTCGACATTTTTTTTGTCCTTTCATTGTGCAGTTTGTTTAAGTCATGACCTTCAATGTGATGTCCTCAGGTCTATGTGTAGCAGTAGATTTCAATTAGATTAGGTTGTGAAGTAAATGAAATATATTACATTGGTTTGCAGGTTGTATGGCCTTGACTATATGCCATTTCCTGCGTTTTAGAACTGTTCTGCTGAGTATCATCTCCCTGTTGAACGAGCCCAACACCTTCTCTCCCGCCAACGTCGATGCCTCTGTCATGTTTAGGAAATGGAGGGAGTCAAAGGGCAAAGACAAGGAATATGAGAACATCATCAGGTGAGGGGCATGAACAGTGCTTCATGTTAAGTTGAAAATAGGGTCCTCATGCAGTTTGAGACAAGGGAGACAAGGTTTCACACTGAGCTTGGCTTTTGGGTGGTTGGGGGGGGGATAATGCCTGGCTGTATGTGTAATCTAGTACCAGACATTCTTGAGCACAGTCACGGTATAGATGCAATTAGTGGTGGTCCGATTAATTAAAATAATCAAAGATTGGTTGCAGTGACTAAACAACCAAGCAATCGATCATGTTTTCTCATAATCAAAAACAAACAATTCTGGAAACACTTGTTTTCATTAACAATAATATTTAAACTTATCCAATTTCACGATTTGCACTTCTCTCTCTTGCTTCGACGATGGGTGGAACGAATGAGAACTTTCCTGTAGGCCTCTCTTGTCCATACGCCCGTGTTCCCACGGCTGCTCTCCTTATAGGATAGGTCCCTAGTCCCAGGCTAAGCGTTCCCCTGTCTACCCACGTGACTACCTCAGAGTGATCATTCTTCTTCTTGTCGCACCACTGTGTGGACGCATTGTGAGAGTTCTCAGCTTTCCTTACAAGTTAACACGAGAAATATATCATGGGTAGTTGACCCTAAGTAGCGTAATTTTGCACACACTATAACAATATTTACTTCCTCAGATCCCACTCGTCATGTGTGGGTTGTATTGACCTGTGTTCCTGGAGCTAATGTTGTCGGGAATGTGCTCCCTTATCAAGGACGTTTTTAGAGCATATAGATATGCTTGCTCCCGTTGGCTGGCAGACAGAGCTCGTTACACTTCAACAGTTGTTCACCCGACAAACCCCTGCTTTCAACGACCAGTATTAACTGCTCGTCGTCTGGAGATTCCTATGTCGGACGGTGATGATTATATTGGCGCATCAGATGTCTACAGATCGTTCCGCCTCATCAAACCACTCCGTGTTGCCAGCTGACTCACACAGCCAATCTACTTCGTCAACTCGCCGAACCGATTCACCACACCAAATCGGTTCGCCATACCGAATGGAATCACCAGACCGAACCGTTTTGCCGTGGCGTATGTGGATTACGACATCGACTCAATTCAAGACTGTTTCTTATCGCCGAAACTGTTCACATCATCGATTCGATTCACAGCACCGAAACGGCTCGCCTCGTCGTAACGGCTCTCTTCACCGAAACGATTCATGTCGTTGAACCAATTCACCTCAGTCGGAACTTTTCACCTCGCCTCACCGGTTCATCTGATCGTCCTAGATCTCTCCATCAGCTGGAATCATTTAAACGTTTCGGATTACCGAACCGATCCAGATCAGAGTTATCCAGCTCACAACGCCGATCCAGATCACGGACTGATTCAGATCACATCAACGTTCCGGCTCACCACCCCGAACCGATTTACCAGCCCGACTCATACCTTTTCACCAGGCCGAACCGCTTCCTATCGCCGAACCAGTTCACCTGGCCGTTCAAGATCACTGAATTGTCAGTATTCATCGAACTGTCAGCATTCGTCAATAATCCATTCCTCGGACCTTGCCAGCAATTGAGCTTATTCACGAATTGGGCGATTCACCACTCGTGTTATTTCCAACACGGCGCATCTTACCAGCCTATCAAAGCCTATGCCAAATGTGTCTGGGATGCCTCCCAAGACACGTAACCCACATCGAACCTCGTCTTTGTTTTCATGGTTCGGGATATGCCATAAGATGCAGGAATTGTTTTGGTTGATTCGACACACATGATCACATGGTTCGCCGACCACCTACAGCTACCTAGAGCAAGATACCAGATGTTCTATTGATTACATTCAACATTAAGGATCGGGACTTGTCAACACTGGTTTTCCACATCCTCAACGAGGTTCGTGAACTTGCATCTAAATAGGGCCAAATTTGTCGAACTCTGCTAGTTTTCAACACTATCCTAGTTTTCAGGGCATCTGTGAGGCGCTGAATTCCTCATTACGAAGTGGCAAGCTCTAAGCACAACAATTTGATTTGTTTATACGGTTTACCTTACGGCTTGTGAGGCGCTTAATGTTTTTAGTCACATAACTTATCCCACCTTGTACCCCTTTTTCGGCTGGTTGAACAGAGGTAGTAGCTATGTGCTTCACCATGCCGAATCGATTTACATGTGATGTCAGTAGCGCAGTCATCTAGACATATCACGCTCGGCACTTGACGGTCTGACGATCCCAGTTCTCAAGAGTCCTCCTTGACCGGGGCTCATCTCATTTTTTCCAGACTAAATTTACCATCCGATTTTCACCTTTGATGAATGATTTGGTTCAACGAATCTACCCACCTGATAGGGCATTACTAGATAAGCTTGCTAGCCAGGAATACTTTACCACGCTTCGCTGAGTCTTGTTACTACAGACTACTCGTAACAGCGTGTTTGTGTATCGCTGGGTGCAATTATTGCAGATGGTTCGTCATCTTCAGCTCCCTTTGTTTTACATGATAAGCAAGTTTCTGGACATATAACAGATGGGTCAAGTTTTTGCGCATGGTACCAGCAGTGATGTTTTGTCAAATAGCCAGCATAGCTCAGCCCAGAATTTATGTGTTGCGACTCGCCTGGTTAACCGAAGACCGTGTTGTCCAGTTTATTGTCACTCTGTGTAATGTTTGCAAATGGCGGACTACTGTTTGTTTACCAGAATTTTGATGATTAGACTGACTATGAAGTGCCCTTGCAGACTTGTCTTGGTCCCACGAATCGGATATCAAGTCCAGCCTCTAAATGCTAGTAACAAGGAACGGTGCCATTCCCGGTAAGAGTGATTGTGTCGGGATTTCGACAGCCAGTCTAGGGAGACTGCTTATCGGGGGTGACAGACAGAAATACCCATGAACGGTTTGACAAGCTCAAGCACTGAGTTCAGAGGTCACTGCAGTTATGCATGGACTGTCACCAGGCAGCGATCTACTACCTTTATCACTCCACCTGGCGAACCATCATTTTGTTCGGCCAACTGAAACGTTCCTGAGGTCGCCGATCGTACGAATTTCTTCAATTCGTTTACAAAGTGAACGTTCCCGCACATTGACTGACAATCTCCATGCGCCGAACATACTACATTCAGCACTCCGTTAGAACTGACATAGTAGCTCGACTTATTGAACGTTCTTATATCAGGAGATATCTCTTTGTCAGAGGCAAGAGTGGTTAGACCTCTCATTTCCCTCGACCTGCGAGACACCTACCTTCACATCTCGATACAGCCAGACTATAGAAAGTATCTTCGATTTACTTTCAAGGGGCATCATTGATACCAATGGAGGGTCCAGCTGTTTGGCATATGTACGGCCCCGTGGCTTTTTACTCAGATACCTAATAAGATAACAAGCTACCTGCATTGTGGAGGCGTGACATTCGAGAATTATATCGACGACTGTGTTCAAGCCCAGCAGGATCCAGTCGTCCTTCCTCTTCACATGCAGTTCATCCAGTTGCTCACGAAATTAGGATGGCTGCTGAATTCGGAGAAATCGGAGGTAACACCGACCCAATGTTTTATTTTTATTGGGACAATATTCAACACGACAGGTCATGATGTTTGTGCCCCAGGAGAGGTGGGACAAGATTCAGTGCAACGCACCACCAGTGCTGGTCCAACCCACAACTTTTCTCCAGTGGCAGAAGTTACTAGGGTGGTTGACGTCGGCACAAGCGCTGACTTACAGGGGCCAGCTGCAGCTTCGCCCTCTTCAGATGTTTCTGTGCCCATACATCCGGGACGACAACCACAGGGAGTTGATTTGTCTTCCCGCACAACTACATTCAGTCTTTCGTTGGTGGCTCAACAAGTGGAATGTTTGCGTTGGAGTCTCTATGGTGTCCTTCATACCGACTCAACACCCGTTCATCGACGCATCTTTCAAGCTGGGGAGCTCACTTTCTCCATTAAGTGGCCTAGCAGAAAAAATGGTCATCAGGAGAAAGGGCCCTTCATATCAACGAATCAGCACTGTCATTCTCGCCGTTCGGCATTGGGCAGTTGAACTACGGTTCACTCATATACTGATTCAATAATAATAATAATAATAATGTGTCCATTTATATAGCGCCAAACTCCACACTAGGTATGCTCATAGCGCTAACAATCAAGGCCATTATTACCCCGATAACCCAAGCTGCCTGTTAGGCGCTAGAAGGTTATAGTCATATGACTTTTTTCCACCGGGTACCCATTTTCCTGCTGGGTGAACAGAGACAATTTTGAACAAACTCACTTGCCTAAGGTGAGACCACATGTGTCACATGTGCTTCGTTGTGGGGCAGGACTCAAGTCCTAGAAACTCTCAGGAGTCAAGCTGCCAAACACGGTCACCCATCCAAGGACTCTCCGAGCTCGACGTTGCTTAACTTCACCGATTTGTGACCTGAGCTTTAAGCACAGGACCACGCCACCACCACGTGATTCAATCAGACATTTTGATGGTAATTTTGTACATAAACTATCAGGGGTCGACAGGATCAGCAGCTCTGCTTCAGTTGATGTTTCGAATTTATCATCTGATCGGTTCACTCAACACAGTGGCCAGAGCCCGACACATTCCCAGGATGAGGAATGTCATTGCCGATGCCCTGTCTCAAACGCCAGTCACTCACGGAGTGGAAACAACTGCCTCTGATATTCCAATCGAAAATCTACCTGTTATCACGACCAGAGGTAGACCTGTTTGCCACTCTGGACAACCATCAGCTTCAGCGCAGATGATCACCAGTTGCGATCATTTCTGCTTTGTGTACAATCTGAATAAAATTCTGAATTTTATTTCTGATTTGTGTCTTCCATGTCTCCTCTCAATTTAATTTGAGACCTCGCCACCTCACTTACTGTCGTCTGCTCTGTGGAGTAATTACATCAATGAAGTGAGTCATTCCCGAAGTGTTACACTTGGTAGTGTTCAAGTACCTATACACATCTATGTGATCTTACTGTGGTAAGTAGTGGAAGTCATAAGATGATGTTGTGGTACTGAACGTGAAAATTGTGAGTTTTCCGATTCAATTACCCTTTCACCCTCCTCGGGACGGTGTCTGTGGGGGTTGTTTCGAAGCAGGGGCTGGCCCGATACTGGTCATTAGACTTTTATTACGGGGTACCTTGGAAATCGTGGTAATGCGACTGATTACACTCGTTAAGCTGCGTCCTTTCACTTTCATGAAGGTAGTGACTGAACACCACATTGCTCGGGAGTCACAGTCCCTGGGAGCAATTGTGCTTAGTAAGTCAATGGGTTCGAACTAACCATCGCACGTAGTGACCTTGGTAGTTATGGGCCTACCTTGTCGTTGCTCCCTACGGATGTAGAAGTGTTTGACAATCTCGCTTGCTGACCTCGACTCCACGGAGCAATCACGCCAGTGTAGTGAGTCCTTCCCGGTTTCCTTATGGATTTCGTAGCGTTCAAGCTCCTAAGTACCTTAGCACACCGTTGTGACCTACTTGTGGTAAGTAGTGGAAGTCATGTGGTGTTGTTTTGGTACTGAACGTTAAACTTGTGAGTTTTCCGATTCAGTTTCCTTTTCCCCTCTTCGTGATGGGGTCTGGGGGGGCTGTCTCAAAGCAGGTGCAGGGGTACTCTGATAAATCGTGGCAAAGCAAGTTGACTTGCCTAGTTGCGTTTTCTTGCATATGCGAGGGTTGCTGCTGAACACCACATTGCTCAGGAGCACCCACTCCATGGGAGTGATGGTGCCTAGTAAGCCAAGGGGTTCAGGAGAACCCATCACTAGTATAGGACCTATGCTAGTCAGATGCTACAGCCGAAAACCACATCGCTCAGGAGCACCCACTCTTGGAGCGATGATGCCTAGTACGCCAAGAGGTTCAGAAGAACCCATCACTAGTATTGGTACTATGCTAGTCGGATCCTGCGACCAAACACCACATTGCTCAGGAGCACCCTCTCCTTGGGAGCGATGATGCCAAGTACGCCAAGAGGTTCAGAAGAACCCATCACTAGTATAGGTACTATGCTAGTCGGATCCTGGGGCTGAACGCCACATTGCTCAGGAGCACCCACTCCTTGGGAGCGATGATGACTAGTAAGCCAAGGGGTTCAGGAGAACCCATCACTAGTAGAGGTACTATGCTAGTCAGATCCGGCCTCCCTTGTGCATTGCTATCTACTGTTGTCTTTAGCCTATACAGTATTTACTGTCCGTGCCTTTTGACTTAGGGTAATCTGTGACCCGCCGTCCAACCATGGGATAAGTGCAAATTGTGAGATATGATAAGTTTAACAATTTGAAAATTTTAACATAAATTGTATATTTATATACTTATCCTATCTCACGAGATGGATGCCCACCCAGCCTCCCCTCTACTCAGATTAGGACGGTTACGTATAACTGTCATTGGCTCCAAGAAGAGAATGATCACTCTGAGGTAGTCACGTGGGTAGACAGGGGAACGTGCTGCATGCTTAGCCTGGGACTAGGGACCTGTCCTAAAAGGAGAGCAGCCTGGGGAACACGGGCCTATGGACAAGAGAGGCCTACAGGAAAATTCTCATTCGTTCCACTCGTTCGAAGCAAGAGAGAGAAGTGCAAATCCTGAGATGGATAAATATATAAATATACAATTTATATTAAAATTTTCAGTTTTTGACTCGGTTGGTTTTGTCTGTTACATTTCATAACCACTACAAGCTCGTTCCAAGTAAATAAATTATGTTCCTAACATACTAGTCATCCTTTAAATGTGGAATTTTGCCCAAAAAGACCCAAAGAACTACATGTTTCTTTTCCTTATTTTTTTGTGCATTAACAAATTTCACAAATGACGCTAACCAATTATTTTCGATGATTGATCGGCTGTAATGAACCAATCATCAATTTTGAGATTTTAACCAATTCCCAACACTAGATGCAAATTGCAATGGCTGCCATATTGAATTTGTCATTCTCACATGAACCATTCAGAACTATTTGTGTTACTTTGTTATACCTTATTTACTGTTGTGTCATGAACTCAGATTTGGGAATAATCACTTAAGAATTCTGCTGCAGAATATTTTTGCCAGGAGTTTTAACCTTTTTGATGCAGATTCGCATATGCACTAGTTTAACTCAGAATAAGATCCAGGATAATCTTTCTAAAAACCTTTGAAATGCTTTTTGTAACATGATAAACAATTCACATTGAGTTATACATTTGTTGTTGACCAGAAAACAAGTGACAGCAACGCGGGAGGATGCAGAGCGTGACAGTGTGCGTGTTCCCACCACACTGCAGGAATACTGTGTTACAGCCAAGCCGGCCACCGACAATGCTGTCGATGTAGACTTCTACGATGATGATTATGTAGATGATATGGACGATGAAGAGGAAATGTATGAAGATGATGATGATGATTCAGGAAATGAAGAATCCTGATGTTAGTCTTCTATGCATGGCTGCAACTATTACACTCACTGTTACACACTCAAATACAAAATTCTTCAAATTCAAAATTTGTTCAGGGGGCCAGGAACTCCAGGAAATGTCTCTAGCGTTTTTTCAAGTGAACACATGCTCTGCTATGTGGCTTTGGTTTTGAGGTGTTCTTTAATGCATCTGGCACTGTGGTTAAGCTGAGGGATGCAATGCCGACTATGATGTTTGCATCAGTTCCCAAGGCTGGACTAGGCCTGATTATACTGGGTTGTGATCTTAGTCCAAGAGTGCTGGTGGTGTTTAGATTAGTCAGTGGAGACAGGCAGAGATGGAGCTTGTGTCAGCACCATCAGGCTGTAGGGGTTGGGCAGCCACACTGACAACACTTTACTGATTCTCATGGTGCAATAATCCAAGTGCTTATAAACATACAATCCATTAATTTATCAATGTTTATTAATTTGTTTTTGTTCCTTAATTCCAATTTCAATAATAATATGCTGTAAATAGTTGTAGGTGCTGGTGTGAGAACCAGAGACTGAGACCTGTTTGGATGCAAATGTAGTTTCCTATCTGCTGGTGTGGCTGCTCAGCCTAGTGTGGGTGGTGGATGGGAACCCAGTAGCATTGTACAACCATTAGGAGACCAAACTTGACCACTTCAAAAGACAAAAACACGAAGAATTTTTATATCTGACTAAGCCATGGTGTGTGTTGCTCAAAGGGTTGATTCATGTTATGATAAAGGTTCTTGCCCTTCCCTTGTAAAAAATATCAGAATGTAAAAAATCCTATTCTGACTTTGTATACATTGTACTTTTATTATGTGAATCTATCTTTAAAAATTGAACAAAAAAATGTTTTATTGTATAGAGGTGAGTTGGCCATTGAGCAACTGGAAGTGTAGATCGTAAGGTCGTTTGGTGTACAGTAGGTACAGGTGGTGCCACATGGGTAAGTGTACAGTGTATCCCTGCCACTTGTGCTTGTTCCAAAGCATGCATGTTATTTGGATGAAAATTAATTCTGTTGTGTATGTGGGTGTGTGTCTGTATGTATCGGTATGCAGGAGCGTGAATGTGTTGTTATCACTTGGTATAAATGTACAGTTTGTAAATTCTACTATTTAATTTCCCCCTCTCTTGTGCCCTGTTCTCTCTTTTAGTTCTTATTTCTTGGTTATCCCCGTTCTATAGCAGTCAGGGTTATCCTTCACTTTTTAACAGACACATGTTTGATTTCCTGTGTTTAGATCTGCGAAAGGTTTACTCTATTTTTTCACCATGCCTGAATGTTCCAGTCCGATTCACTCTGCAATGTGGTTTTGATGCAAAGGGAGTTAATTCATTGACCTTTGATGGAGTTATTTCCCTTTCATCCTTTGTTAGCAAAAGCACAAATGAGGGTATTTAACAAGTGGTTTAGTGGCATCGTCAACTCTGCAATCATGTAACACTGCCTGATATGACACAGGGTCTTACACTGTCATGATTAACTACACACAACAACCTCATCATCAGATAGCTGTTTTAACACATTGCAGCTCTTGATCTACTAAAACATTTGAAAAATGTCTTCTTCTTAAAGAACAGGATTTTCAAAGTTGTGCAGATTAAGCCAAAGATAACACTTGGCTTGTTTATTATAAACCTATATGTTTAATGTAGCCACATGATCTCTACATAGCATAAGACTTCTTAACCTGTTCCAATTGGACAATCTCATACTCCATCATTTGCTGTGTTGTAGTTGTCTTTCTCAACTGAAACGTTCAATGTGCATCACCTGGGAACTTTTTGGTGATAATATGCAAAATGTCCAGTTTCAGTCTCCAGGAATGATTGACCCCCAAGTTAAAATTATCTGTCAACGAAGTTGCCCTCCAAAACATACTTACCCCATAGTTTTCATCTCAATGTTACATGGATTTGATGACTATACCTGTCAGGTCCTGATGAGTTTGGACTATCAGAGGCATTAAGCCTGGAGAAATGTAGATCTCTTAGATATTTTGTACATGTATATTTATAATACTATAATATGACAGACGTGATCCTCATTCACCAGGAAATGAAGTCATTTAATTGGAATCCTTAATGCTTAAAAGAACTGAGTTTTGGAATGCTTAAAAAAATTACATTTAGATAAAAGATCGTTACTCAACCAGACAATGCTCAGGATATTGAGTTTAAAACCAAGTGATAGATCATCCACTTGCCACCTACTATGTTGGAACTTGCTTTCCCACCTTTTCAAGTTTGTCTTGTTATAATTTTGTTTCTATTTATCATGTTTATTATGTCTTGTTTCATGATCCATATGTGTCATCTCATCTGTATAGTATGCTTGAGAGGGTTTGATATCATCAAATAATAAACATTTGAATAAAAAATGGTTAATTATTTAAGGTTTTCATTTATAGTTATTGTTTTTCTTCCTGCATTGGAGGGGTGGGGAGGTCTGCTTAATTTGTTTGCTTGCATTTAATTGCCAATATTGGTGCCATTGTTGGCTTTCTGGTGAACCACAGTCTTCTTACATTTATAGCCCTGGGGAATGTGTGACCTTGGGATCTAAACGTTTTCCAATCACATATGGCATGTTATTTTTATTAAATGAGTATATTTAAATGTCATGTCGTATTCCAGTTTGCTTAGCTGTAAGCTCATGGTGTCAACCACTGGATTGTCCTTCCAGCCTATTGCAAGATGACATGCAGTGATAAGCCGGAGAAATATTTCATATCGACAGGGGACATTATGCAAGATCGATATAGAAATCACATCTTTAAATATGGAGAGCACAGTTTTACAAAATATTAATTTTAATTAATCACCACAGTTGCTGTGGACTGGTGAATGGAGAAGACTACCTCTTGACAAGACAACAGCAGAAATGAAAGTATTGTCAGATCCACAGAGAAATGATTTGAGAGTATTTGTATTATCAATAATCAGTAAGACAAAGTTTTGGGTACAACTAAGCTATAGAACAGGTAGACGGAGCCCTTTTGGAACAGGACGTATAGGGTATGGGTGTCAGTGAACGAGGTCCATCAAATGCACGATTCCCTTGTTGCATCACTATCTTCGGAAAATGAATTTTTGATAAAGGAAAACCAAGTTCTGCGGATAGTCATCTTATTTATTGCAATGAGTGCGACGTTTCGGCGTAGGTACTAACACCGTTATCACTTGCTTGATAACTGTGCTAGTATCTACACCGAAACTTGAACTTGAACACCATAGAACTTGGTTTTACTTCATCTTTACAACTTCTAAAATGCCTCTCAAAGGGTTATAGATAACCCAATTTTGTCTTTAATCATCTTTTCTTACATCACCACTGATACATATAAAATTATGAGATGCGATTTTGTCGGTGCTTACTTTTGTTCATGTGCATAGTTACCCACATCCAGAAGCACTACTTGAAAGATACTGGATATGACAATTCAAACGTATATAAACTGAGATGTAAAAGAAACGTTACCAACCAGCAGTGTTTGAATCTATAGATGGAACCAGCACCAAGGAAGATACTTGAGTTAACAGAAGCATTACGCCATAAACGAGGACAACAACGATGGTACTAGCGGAGGATGGGGTAAGTGTTCAGCAACTGATCAACCATCAAAACCCCCTTAATCCTTCAGAATTTTACACTTGGCCGTTATTTTACATACCCCACTTACAATACCAGCTGAAGATGGGAATCGAAAATCATTTCGGAGGGTATGTACTGACCGCTCGCTGGTGTGAACCCTAACTGGTCGTGCTCTAATTTGACGAAAGTGTACTTCCACAATTTTTCTATAAATAGAGACTAGTGATCGTGCCGTCCAAGACCAGACGTTTACGTTAATGAGTTGCATGGAATATTCTACAAGACATGCAGCCTTCTTTTACCTTGCTCAGTGAAACGCTGTATGGCGAAATTGTCATCCAAAATCATCTATCGCCAGTCGCTGCTGATGACGTCACCATATGAACCCTATTGTAAGCAGCGGTTCCTGGATGGAGGTGGCAGTAGGTCTGCCTCTCCTTGGTCTGTCTCCAGTACGCCCGGTCTGGCTGAGGCAGACCATGACCCAGGGGACTTATATGCGTTGTTCCTCTCCTTGGTCTGTCTCCAGTACGCCCGGTCTGGCTGAAGCAGGTCATGACCCTGGGGACTGATATGCGTTGTTCCTCTCCTTGGTCTGTCTCCAGCACGCCCGGTCTGGCTGAGGCAGGCCATGACCCAGGGGACTAATGTGCGTTGTTCCTCTCCTTGGTCTGTCTCCAGTACGCCTGGTCTGGCTGAGGCAGGCCATGACCCTGGGGACTGATATGCGTTGTTCCTCTCCTTGGTCTGTCTCCAGTACGCCCGGTCTGGCTGAAGCAGATCATGACCCAGGGGACTGATGTGCGTTGTTCCTCTCCTTGGTCTGTCTCCAGTACGCCTGGTCTGGCTGAGGCAGGCAATGACCCAGGGGACTAATGTGCGTTGTTCCTCTCCTTGGTCTGTCTCCAGCACGCCCGGTCTGGCTGAGGCAGGCCATGACCCAGGGGACTGATGTGCGTTGTTCCTCTCCTTGGTCTGTCTCCAGTACGCCCGGTCTGGCTGAAGCAGATCATGACCCTGGGGACTGATGTGCGTTGTTCCTCTCCTTGGTCTGTCTCCAGTACGCCTGGTCTGGCTGAAGCAGGTCATGACCCAGGGGACTGATGTGCGTTGTTCCTCTCCTTGGTCTGTCTCCAGTACGCCTGGTCTGGCTGAGGCAGGCCATGACCCAGGGGACTAATGTGCGTTGTTCCTCTCCTTGGTCTGTCTCCAGCACGCCCGGTCTGGCTGAGGCAGGCCATGACCCAGGGGACTGATGTGCGTTGTTCCTCTCCTTGGTCTGTCTCCAGTACGCCCGGTCTGGCTGAAGCAGATCATGACCCTGGGGACTGATGTGCGTTGTTCCTCTCCTTGGTCTGTCTCCAGTACGCCTGGTCTGGCTGAAGCAGGTCATGACCCAGGGGACTGATGTGCGTTGTTCCTCTCCTTGGTCTGTCTCCAGTCAGCCTATGTAGTCATGGCTTGATTTTGGCAACATGAAAACAATGTTTGTGAATTGGTCACAATCAAAACACTTTTCAAAATAATTACGACGGGTCGTTGCTTTTTTTAAAATGGGACCCCAAGAACAATAGGCGTGTACTTGCCAGCTTATTACATTTTCGTTTTTATTATTAATACCTACACTGTGTTGAAATTGATTTTGCTTGTCAACGTTTTTGGACAGCAATGATCATATACATGTTTACCCAACCAGCACAAGTGTCCAGATCCACAGCCATTGGGATTTGTGTTTGACTGGAATTCAGTACTGCCGAAACAATTATTCCTGTTGTATGACCACGGTCATCATTATCTCCGAGTTGTCGTTAATCTGATATCTCCTAGGAGATATTGTCTTGTTCTAACACAAGCGATATCTCCTGTGGAACAAGTTTTCGGAATAAAAATACAGTATCAGACAATTAAAGGTATAGTTTTTGATGACGTAAGCGTCCTCGTACTTTAACTGTAATAGTTCAGGGCGAAAGTGTGTTTTATTTAGAGATAAACATCATGTGTTGGTTAATTTCCGAGTGTTATTGAGTATGTGAAGCACGGAATTCATTTGGAACCGACGGCGTCAGCCGGAGGTTTCAAATGGAATAATTCCCGTGCTTCATATACTCGATAACACCCGGAAATTGGCCAACACATGATGTTTATCCACATTGTAAACCAAAAGGTCTACTACACACGTTTTTGTGTCTGCACTCATTGACACCGAGTACGGGTACAGCAGTGAAATGGCATCAGCCGGCCGTTTCGGCTGTCTCCCCATGGTAGCATCTGAACTGTTCATTTGTGACGTCATTCGACTTTCAGTCACAATATGATTTTAATGACGTCATCACAGCTGACGACGTAGCAATACAATGGTGTGAGCAATGTTTGTATGTATTAATACGCAGCGAATTTCCGGAAATCGAATACCATTTGATCACGTTTTTCAACCAATCAGATTAAAGAACACAATGACTTTGGTTTACAATACACTATACATGGTGGTAGAGCGAACTGTATTTCTTAATTCTTGTGTGAACTGACCATACGTCGCAAGTACCTTCTAAAAGGTTTACGATCAATACAATGACATGTTGAATATCAGCTCTTTACGGCGGCTTTACCCCGTTCTTTGAAGCTGCAGTTAGATAGATTGGATATTGTTCTGTGGACCATAGTATATTTCGTGATGGATAGATTTTGACCACCTGCTGGGCCACTTAAATTCCTTAAATTCCTTGCCAAGTTTTGGCACTTATGTCGCATATGATGGTCATTCGTGTTATTACCCCAAAGTTGTCGAAATATATATTACGAGACAGGCTCGCAGCTCGACTTTAATTTTTTCGTGAATGTCATTTGTGGACTATGCATTGAATTGGTTGGGGTTTGACCTGCCTCAGTAAGGAGGTGGTGAGGGAGTTTATTATTTGATTTATGCTGACATGAATTACCAGCATATTTACCGGAATTCCGTGACAATTAGGTCACACATATTGTCCGAGTAAACAACAATTGTCTGGTAAAATCAGGAACCAGCCATGAACCTCGGATCAGTGCTGAGTTACACATACGGAATTCAATCAAAAATGTCGAGTGCTGACAAACTAAGGATGAGTAGATCATGGCAAAAACCTTGAACAGACCGAGTTGGGTTTTACGCCGCTTTTAGCAACATTCCAGCAATATCACACCTTGAATGGGCTTCACACATTGTACCCATGTGGGGAATCGAACCCGGGCCTTCGGTGTGACGAGCGAACGCTTTAAAACTGGACTACCCCGCCGCCCCGCAAAGACCTTGAAGGTGAGGTGAGGTGAAATTGGGTTTAACGTCGTGCTTGAGAATATTTCGCTCATTTGACGACGGGCATGCATGTGTATGTGTAGGTGCGGCTGCTTGTACTAGCCCAGACTTAAGCTGGTTTTATAGTGCTAGCCCACTGAGATACCACGCCGCAGTGAAGCATGAATACCCCACTCATACCCCACACATTATACTGACTCCGAGCCGACCAGTCTTTGTTGTACCCATTAATGCCGAACGCCAGGCAGGGACCAACAAGTACCATATTTTAACGTCTGTTGGTATGACGCGGTCGGGAATCGAACCCGCGACCTTCCGCTCTCCGGGCGGACGCTCTAACCACTACACCACGGAGGCGGTCAAAGACCTTGAAGGGAATAACAGGACAGTATATTGCTACCACACACATGTGCACAGGAGCAAAGACTGGGCGAATTGTGTGGTTGAGAGTGGTATCCTTTGAAACACAGCACTCCGCCTTTACATAGTACAATTCACTGACATACAAAACAACGCACAGGAATGTTTATAGTATTTTATAACAAAACGAAGCATTGTCAGTGAATTCTGAAGATGAAACTAAAAGACACATTGCCTACATGAATACTGTGAATGAGATGTAAACGAAAGCATGAAAGTAATACAAGCGGTTGTACCTTGTCATGAAAGCACTTGCGTTGACGATATTCACAACGGGCATGTTTTGGGTCAAAGGCACTTGAGAACATAGCAGGCATTACCCGTACGTAGGCTACGCACATCAAATACGTGATGTCATGAGTAATGGCTGGCAACGTAGGGGCAAGAATTGAGACTCCAATATGTGCTCGAATAAAACTTCATGGGGTAAGATATGCGCAAATAAAGCCTGGTGTTGTGAGATGAAGTCCCTGTTCCTCAGAGGACGTGTGATAGATGAGCTATATACACTAAAGCCGACATGTGGTCAGTAGGCGGTTTACACTGGTGTCAACATGTGGTCAGTGAGCGGTTTACACTAGTTCCAACATGTGGTCTGTGAGCAGTTTACACTAAAGCAGACATGAGGTCAGTGAGCCGTTTACACTAAGTCGACATGTGGTCAGTGAGCGGTTTACACTAAAGTCGACATGTGGTCAGTAAGCCGAGCTGTTTACACTAAAGCCGACATATGGTCAGCGAGCTGATACATTATATAAAGCAGACATGTGGTCAGCGAGCTGGGTGGTTTACAAGCAAGACATGTGGTCAGCGAGTTGATACATTATATAAAGCAAGACGAGCATACATTATATAAAGCAAGACATGTGGTCAGCGAGCTGATACATTATATAAAAGCAAGACATGTGGTCAGACGTGGTCAGCTGATACATTATATAAAGCAAAGACATGTGGTCAGCGAGCTGATGATACATTATATAAAGCAGACATGTGGTCAGCGATACATTATATAAAGCAGACATGTTCAGCGGGTTGATACATTATATAAAGCAGACATGTGGTCAGCGACTGATACATTATATAAAAGCTGACATGTGGTCAGCGAGCTAATACATTATATATAAAGCAGACATTGATACATTATATAAAGCAAGACATGTGGTCAGCGAGCTGATACATTATATAAAGCAGACATGTGGTCAGCGGGTTGATACATTATATAAAGCAGACATGTGGTCAGCGGGTTGATACATTATATAAAGCAGACATGTGGTCAGCTTGATACATTATATAAAGCAGACATGTGGTCAGCGGGTTGATACATTATATAAAACAGACATGTGGTTAGCGGGCTGATACATTATATAAAGCAGACATGTGGTCAGCGAGCTGATACATTATATAAATCAGAAATGTGGTTAGCAGGCTGATACACTAAATTTAAGTCGACATGTGGTCTGTGAGCAAAATGCAATATAGCAGACATTGTGACCTGAGTAAGGCCAGGTTAATTCCCATATAACCCGTGTATGCGGAAAGCCATCTTGACATACAAGTATACGATATAAAGGTCCACTGTCTGAAACTGCATGTCTGAAATGTTTGTTGCATGGAGTATATGAGTGTAGTGCACAGAATAGCCACTAAAAAGTAATCACCAGTTCAGGTGGTTCAGCATATGATACCTAACCGAAAAAATAAACATCCGAATACACAATTAAAACACTACAATAAAAACAGTTGGCTTGTGGTGCATATTTGAGTATTGGGGCCATAAACTGAATGATAAAGATTATTGCTAATGTCTGAAGAGATGTAAATTTCCTGTGTTGACTGAGTCGAAAAAATCTTTTGCAAACTGGTTTCAAAGCCCCCAATGAAATATCAGCCCAAAAACCGTTTGAGAGTTGTTGAAACTACCACTGTGAACATGTATGCGCCATTTATAGCTGTCAAATCAGGACTACAGCAACTTGGCTGCAGAAACGGCAGCAATGATGGAGACGATGCTGTATTGGACGATGGAAGTACGGCCGATAGCGCTGATCTCATAGTCGGTTATGGCAGCCTGTCTCTCTACTGCGTTCAGCTTACAGTAGGGATACTTGACGCCTTGAAACACGTGGCCGTAGATGACGCCGACGGGCTCACAATCGCCTTTGAAGGGGTCAGTGAAGCAGCCGGTGAAGGAGTCGAAGAACCTGAGGGACAAACGATATTGGTTTACTGGCTCATCACCTTTATTATTCGTTTCACAGCTGATGTAGGCTTTACGTTGTGTGAGCGTGCGTGCGTGCGTGCGTGCGTGCGTGCGTGTGTGCGCGCGCTCTAACTTCAAGCTAACTGTACAAGGCAATAGTAGCACTACTGATTACGACATTGTTGTAACGATCTGACCAAATGGGTCGAGTGGTCAAGCTCTTGCCGCTCCATTTGCAGATACACGGAGTAAAGCCACATTTCAAAGCTACTGAATTATGGGACTTACTTGCAGACCATGTCCAGTCCCGACTTAATGTCAGTTGCTTGTCCAGCGTTGGCGATGGTAGTCACTGCATTCTGCAGGCAGTCAAGGAAACCGGACTCCCCAAAGGCAGAGAAACATGTTGCCTTATCCGCCAGAACTAGATATAGATAAAAATTGTAAATATGAAGCTGCTATTCAAAGCAAAGGATACAATGTTATAGCTTACCTACAAATTGTAACCTTCAGAATCACCCAAAATCCAATGGGTGAACGGTTGTTATAATCCCATAAACCCCACAGATGCCTTTCATAATCATACAATTCATCTTTCCTGTCACAATATCCATGGCCAACGTTGTAATATGCTATATACCGAAGGCTAACCAGATATATTATTGTATTTTCTAAGATGCCTAGCGGTTAGAAGAATCGGAAAAAAATACATTATCAGACAATAAAGGTATAGTTTTTTTATGACGTAACAATTGAATGACATTATCCCGCTGTTCCCCGCTGCCCCCTCGTAGTCACATGTGTCCATGGTAACGTTTGATCTGTCTGTTCTGTAAATCAACATGGCGCATCCCTATCACTTGGCGATGAAGTTTCTTTCAACGGAGAACTATGTCGAGTTGTTGAGTTCCATGTACCAGGAAGAAATATGGCGAGGAAGTTCATTATTGAAAACCTGAGAACTTGGTGTCGTAGGAGTGTTTATAAACACGAACTTGACTTCCATGACAGTGACGATGATATGTTACTTAGCGTTCCTGAATTGACACCTGCGTTTGATGTACCGGAGCCGATTATACCTGCCGTGGATATAACAACAAGGTTTGCAAGTACAGACGAGAGCAGGCTACAACAACTGGCTAAAAGTAGGACTGAAAAGTCAACAGAGAACAGCACTAAATGGGCGTTAAAGATATTTAAAGGAACGGGCAATTGCGAATATTTCAGTAGCCTATACTTTATATAAACAGTAGGTAACTGAACACTTAAATCATTTTGAAATGATATAATTAAAATAACAATTTGTGTTATTTATTCAATATAGAAATAGAATAGAAACTTATATTTTGACCACTAAAGAGTTTAAAGAGGAAACTTACCGAGAGCGAAGATTTATATTCTGACTTCCCAACCAGTAATATCCAATCACAGAAACGACACAAACACAATATTTTTTCCAGATTGGCTTCAGAGCAACAGTTTGCTCTTGGAATTTGAGTTGAGACCCGTTGTTGAACTCAATGGAACCCTCAGACGATTTTACGCAGAAGTTCGAACGAGAAATGGGAACGAATATTCAAATCGGCTCTAATGTCAATTAGACTACCGTCCTCGTGCTTTAATTATAATAGTTCAGGGCAAAACTATACTTTATTACAAAACACATTGGGGTAGAGCGAAATATATTTCCTAAGTCTGAGATGTTACTGCACATGTATCGAAGGTTAACTCACCAGGTGTTACTGCACATGCATGGGTGGTTAACTCACTAGAGGTGTTACTTCACATGTATCGAAGGTTAACTCACCAGGTGTTACTGCACATGCATGGGTGGTTAACTCACTAGAGGTGTTACCTCACATGTATCGAAGGTTAACTCACCAGGTGTTACTGCGCATGCATGGGTGGTTAACTCACTAGAGGTGTTACTTCACATGTATCGAAGGTTAACTCACCAGGTGTTACTGCACATGCATGGGTGGTTAACTCACTAGAGGTGTTACTTCACATGTATCGAAGGTTAACTCACCAGGTGTTACTGCACATGCATGGGTGGTTAACTCACTAGAGGTGTTACTTCACATGTATCGAAGGTTAACTCACCAGGTGTGACTGCACATGCATGGGTGGTTAACTCACTAGAGGTGTTACTGCACATGTATCGAAGGTTAACTCACTAAAGTACCGTCGGAAATAGAAAAAAAACTGTTTTTAGGCTGTTACTCTGTATCCCTAAAATTTACACAACTGCAAATAGCATATGTCGAAATAACCCACTTCGGCCTAACTTGGCGTTCAGTGGGATGCGTAAAAGGATATCCAAAAAAGCATGTTTACTCGTAAAATAGAGCAAAACTTAGAAAAAATACGAATAGCTGCTGAAAACAATAGATCAGACTATATCCCTGAGGCGTGTTCAGAACCGCGAGCGCCCGCGCGATTGCCCCCCGCGAGCGCTCGCATCGGCCCTGAACGGACGCGAGCGCTTGGTTACAATAAACCATTCGTGACCAAGTCGTGTTGTTCCGGGACAAGCCGAATAGCTTCTTTATTATATTCTTAAGGGTGAAATACTGTAAATACTGGTGAAAATAAAAATGATATTGTCATTTTCACTGAGTAGAATATCACTTTTGCCTGGAACTACGAAACGCGAACTACGAAATCGATGTCTCGATCATTTATAAACAATGATCAAAATAAAATAAATAGAATATTTTGTTAATGTTGTCAATGGTTACGCATCTCGTGAACATATCAACTTTTTCAGACCACTCGATGACATATACATGTTATTTGACAACATTAACAAAATATCCTCCATGTCTTCTTTGTGGAGGTTACGGAAAGGGATGAGTGGTGACGAATGACATTAAACACGATCGCCATCTTGGTTCGCTTGGCGAGGCAGCTGTGAGAATGGTTCGCGTGCGCGCGCGGGCGCTCGAGCGGGCACAGGCGTTCAGGATCGAGCGCTCGCTAGCGTTCGCGGGCACTCGCGGTTCTGAACACGCCTCTGGCATGAAATGCATGTGCTACTTACAGGCACAAGGGGGCATCTCAAAGATATTTTGTGCTTGTTCATGTGTGCTGACTATGTCTCACTTATTGATTACCATCTTACGTGTCTTTTTTTCCTAAAGTTTGGTTTTACGCCGCTTTAAGCAATATTCCAGCAACATCACGGCGGGGGACACCAGAAATGGGCTTCGCACATTGTATCCATGTGGGGATTCGAACACGGGTCTTCGGCGTGACGAGCCAATGCTTTAAACACTGGCCTACCCCACCGCCCCTGTTGAGATATGTAAAAGAGTATGATACCTGATAACCATTGAAACGCATCGTTTTAAATGTCTCAAAATATCCAGGTGGCATGACCACCCAATCGCGAAGATCGACAGGACTGGATCTTATTTGTAAATTGTTATGACATGCCGTGTACTTCCCCATGATAATTGTCCTAAAGGATTATCTTATCTTAGCTGATAACTCTATCCCCTAGCCCGACCCAACGATCGTCTGCGACACCCCTCCAGGTTTTGCTTTAGAGACGAACCCTCTTATCTGTTTCTATTTATAGTGACAGTGAAACTCCATGGAAGCTACATCCTTAATAGTTTCAGCATGAAAGTTATTATTTTTTACGCCAGCTATCGTTTATAATGAAGCAACGTCTTATTTCAAATTGGGCATTTAAAAAGTGTCCTTTGTAATACAATATCGTCGCACACTAATTTGCATAAAGTCATGGTCTGTTCAAAATAAATCGTTTTGGACTCAGAAAAAACCCGCATTGCTCATTTCTGCACTAATCTCTCCTCAGTAAAGTCCTTTTGTCTACGTTTCCTATGTCCCTACCACTGAGACTGTAGTTAGGCCGAACTTAGTTTAACAGATATTTCACACTTGCACATATCAAGAGATAAATGAGAAAATACAGTTTTTTTTCTATTCCCGACAGTACTTTAGAGGTGTTACTTCACACGTATCGAAGGTTAACTCACCAGGTGTTACTGCACATGCATGGGAGATGTTTTTGCACCTATATGGGAGATTAACTCACCTGAGATGTTATTGCACCCATATGGGAGGTTAACTCACCTGAGATGTTATTGCACCTATATGGGAGATTAACTCACCTGAGATGTTATTGCACCTATATGGGAGGTTAACTCACCTGAGATGTTATTGCACCTATATGGGAGGTTAACTCACCTGAGATGTTATTGCACCTATATGGGAGGTTAACTCACCTGAGATGTTATTGCACCTATATGGGAGGTTAACTCACTTGAGATGTTATTGCACCTATATGGGAGGTTAACTCACCTGAGATGTTATTGCACCTATATGGGAGGTTAACTCACCTGAGATGTTATTGCACCTATATGGGAGGTTAACTCACTTGAGATGCTATTGCACCTATATGGGAGGTTAACTCACCTGAGATGTTATTGCACCTATATGGGAGGTTAACTCACCTGAGATGTTATTGCACCTATATGGGAGGTTAACTCACTTGAGATGTTATTGCACCTATATGGGAGGCTAACTCACCTGAGATGCTATTGCACCTATATGGGAGGTTAACTCACCTGAGATGTTATTGCACATGTACATGAGGCCTTTCCGGATGTCGGGGATGCTGACCAACAGATTCATCAGTTTCATCTCTTTCTCGTTATTGACACACTCTTGTGTGTGTTCCTCCATGCATTTTACGATGCTGTCCATATTATCTCTGAAACAAGGCATGCTCATAATTATGCAGGATAATCATACTGAAGTATATAAGAAGCGAAGAAGCTACTTGAAGAACGCGTGGGTAACTGATGACCGCTGACCTACCGGCAGAACGTTTGGATAGACGCCTCATCCTTAGGGGTTGTAGATGGGTTGAACAGCTCGGACTTGAAGAGACACTGCTGGATCTTACTGTTGGAGCTGGAATCACAGAGGGCCGAGACAGAAGAACCTATAAACAAAATACCAACATATGTTCAGATGTAAGCCCATAATGTTATACAAATATTATGTAAGCATTTTCCGTCTACCTGATTGGTCTAGAGCCGGTCACGTGACCGTCGACAGAAAAGCATATTGACTCCAACCCAGGTCCGACCAAAAGTCATAATAAGTTACTAAAATAGATTTTGACGTCAAGCTATAACGTCATTCTATCGTTTACATGTCACATTATTATGCAAGCATATTTTTCCGGCTACCTGATTGGTCTAAAAGCGGTCACGTGACCGTCGACAGAAAAGCATGACTCCAACCCAGGTCCGACCAAAAGTCATATTGACCTGAGTTACTCTGACGTCATTTTATTGTTTACATGTCACAGTATTGTTGACACAACGTTATTGGTTTGTAGCGAAAATAAAATTACTTTTCTTGGCTAAATGGACATGTTTTTTTTTTAGAAGCTTTTTTCGGTAATTACATAATAAAACAATTATGGACTGGTGAATTCGGTCATTACCTGTTTTATGGAACCGCGAAAAGCAATATTGACCTCGGACTTCGGCCTCGGTCAATAACGCTTTTCGCGGGTCCATAAAAACAGGTATTGACCTCATCACCAGTTTATAATTGTATATTATAGCTAAAATACATGGAATTATCATGAAACGGCCCTCCCATTATGAGAAATTTGCGGGCCGCTGCAAATGATATTGGACCGCTCAACCTTACGACGGGCCACTATCAGTTCTGTTGTCAAGTGACGTCATAGTGGGTGCGTGGGCTTGCGGTTCATTCGACATAATTGGCTTTCGACTGGCAGATATTCCGGGTCAAACAAGTCAAAGCAACCCGAATTCCCGCTTTAAATAGCGGTAATATAGGCTTTCTTGTTGGTGCTAACCTTAACAATTGCACTATTCAGGCTGTTGATGGACCAAAACCGAACACTGACATAGTTTGACATGTTGCAGGCTATGGTCTTGTCAAAGGCCAAGGTCGAATATCGTCACTTTCTGTTGTGACGTCATTTGAATTGTTCGATGACGTAATTGCATCAACCCCGTCAGAAGTTGATTTGGCTCGATGATTTTATTACCTCCCTTGGCTGGCTTTTTATCCTATCAGGTGTCTACGCTGGGAAGTTGAGCGAACCAATCACAACTTACTTTCGCTTCATAAATTATCTAACCGTTAAAACGTTGGCAACACAATTGACGCAGAGATACTCTGAAAGAGGCAGGAGTTCTTTACATATTTTTTGAAAGTTTCAGATCTGTCAATTTGTCTGTATTATCTCCTAAAAAATCTGAACAAACCTTCGAGACTGTGACCGCTATCTTTGTTGACAATGGCAAGCTCGGATGTAAAGGCGGCTTAGCTGATTGGCTACTGTGAGAATGCGGAGCCAGCCAAGGGAGGTAATAGAATCATCGGGCCAAGCCGTGGATGCATCCAGGGATTAGTGGAGAGTGATCGTAACGTATACCCTGGAGATTATCGAGGATGGCATGAAGGGTGTGCCTTAGGAATAGGAGAAGTTATTGGAAGACGTCATCACTACTTCGGGACTATAAACATGCGTGTCGGTTTGGTCGACTTGGTTGACGGCGGGTTCATAATATCAAGAATTCTACCATGACTTCAGTAAATACTGGATTGTGATTGATTAATTAAAGTCATTTAGAGGTAAATACTGGATTGTGATTGATTAATTAAAGTCATTTAGAGGTATATAGAGGTATAAATACAGCGGTATTTTGCCTACGGTTTGGTATACCGTAATGCAGTCCCAAAAATCGGTATTTTCGCTTTTCGTTCCGTCAATTTCTTAACCTTTTCATAACTTTCCTAAAATGTCTAGAACTCGAACCGTTTTGTCAAAATGTATGCATTTCTTTGACAAATGTCAATTTTCTGCATTATGTTCGTATCTCACATACCGAACCGAACCGAAGGTCTTCTACCGCAAAACGTACCGTACCGTGATAAGAGCGTACCGTTTCACCCCTATTTACAACAGAGTATGTTTATATCCTAACTTTACTTATAATCTGCCCAGCCTGGTTCCCGGAGTCTGCTGCGCTACGCTTCGACCAAGCTGATAAACTGCCTTCATACAGCTTATGTATTGCTGTGTCGCTGAGCAACAAACACAACCATTTGACAAGACTGACTGACTGACTGAGTTTGGTTTAAATAGGACAAGTACAATTTTATGGTTTTTACGAACAGGTCATGGTGGCACATTAAAGATCATAACTGCAGTGGTGGACTGCAGTCACAAATGCCCACGCAAATTGTATGGTGCTTACACGATCATATTGCAATACACTAACGCTCTAAATATGAAGCATGTAATGTAGATAGTGGTTTGGTCGGTTTTATTGCACATGCCCTCTTGCCCCTACAGCGTTCAAGAATGGGGCTGGAAATCGAAGCGAGTCGACGAGTGATTTGGGTTTATCGCCTCTTCAGTTAAGGATTATGAGAGGACCAGCGATACTGTTAAATCTACGTTACAGTGAAGCAGTTAGGAAGAGGCTCTAAGTCTCGTATCTTTTCTCGTAGCATTCGTATCTCCTATACTATAACATAGGAGGTACGAATGCTACGAGAAAAGTTACGAGATCTTAGGCTTACTATACGAGAGCTTTGAGAAACGGGCCCTGGACTTAAACAAGTGGTGATGTTAATAGTAGGTGGGGGAATCTACTTGATGTCACTGAAGGTGCAGATAGACGGAGGGGTGATCGGTAATACCCACACGGGTGTCTGTAAAACATTAACTACTATAGTAGCCTCCGAAAACGCAGACCCGTTAAAACAACACTTGTTATGGTTGGTTGCATCCGTGACTAGGAGGCTGTTTCCTTGATTAAGAAAAATGGTATCACCCATGTAACGAGTTTTGACAATGTAGCAAGTGATCCTTTCTTTCATCATTATTTTTTTAATCAATAATATGTAAGAGTTGTTATAAAATATTCATCTAGGCGATTTGATAAGAATACTATACTATACTACTACATGTGTATACTGTGAACGGGGGAGTGAATGGACCTGTGGAGGAGAAGCTGGTGGATGACTTTATTACTGCCGACACACACAGTGTGTCAAGGACAGGGAAAATGCATAGTCAGGACTGCACAGCTGCAGTGTAATCAAAACCTCGGTCACTTCAGTTAAGGTCTGTGGTGAAGACTTGATACACCTGTATCTTTAGATGAAGTACCTCTCATGTTACATGCAACAACAACAAAAACCAATTAAACGAGTTAATACCATTTGTAAGGGTCTAGAATGCGACATGTGTCTAAATTTCATAAATAAACTTCTGTTTTCTAAACGGTGGTGTGCCAACAGTTTAGACCAAGGATGATACCCAAATCCTCTTCGGATGAGGTGTGAGACCCCCAGGCGTATAAAGGCACCACATTTTCAGGTAGTTACAAGTTGTAATGCGGGTGCTCAACAACCGAATCGATAGATATACAGAGCTGAACACCCTCACCAGTGACAAACAAAATGGGTACTTTATAACATGAAGATTTACCACAGAGCAAAGAAAAGATATTTCATTTTAGAGCACCTTCATATGAGAACGCTGATGTAATTACGTGCTGTGATGGCCTTTCAGAAAAAGGTATGGAACTGTGAATATTTAGGACTTAAACAGCATGGGTCCAACTGTGTCTTATGCTATAGCACGGCTCCAGATAATTTTTCATGATCAGGAGTACGGACTCCTTATTTGTTCAATATAAGAGTACTGGAAAACAATAAGAGTACATTTAGAGTACTGAATGGAATTTAATGGCGTATCAGTAATCTTGTGTTTCGTTTCATATATGCACCACAACATTGCTACTCTTGTGTAAACAGGTCAGTAAACAATAAAACAATACTTTTTCAGATAAATACGTCTGTAAATGATTCTGAAACCGTACACCATTGTTGTGGTCCGTATCTGCTACGTTTATAAAATTGTTTCCTACCGTATCGTGCTTATTTTATATCCGTACATACGCCGATACGGCCCTTATCTGGAGCCCTGCTATATTGATTAAACGACACATTTGATGTCAGTTTAGTGATATGGACCCGTTCAGAAACAAATGGAATGTTACACCATGCTGAGGTTAGTGTTAAACTCTACTGAAAGTCAGGCGATGACAGTTTCAGCAAATAATTCATCAAACATCTTTATTATTCCATACGCCACCATCGGGAGTGCACATGACAGATGACATCCCTGTGATCTGCACCCATGGTGCCGATTATTCAAGTTGCCAGATAGTTATTTGTTGAAACCATCAGTTTGCTAAAAATGTCATGAAAGAATGTGTTATCTCCACAACTATTCTATATAATTGTCACTTGATTGAAATCTTCAACGCATGTAAGCTAGTGAATGTAAACTTGGTGTACTCTTTCACGGGGGAATAAATGTCATTTTTATGTGAGTGTGTGAGTTGAGTTTTACGACGATTTTAGCAATATTCCAGCAAATATCACGACGGGGGACACCAGAAATGGGCTTCACTCATTGGAGGAATCAGAATCTATATATCTTACGATGGTATGGACTAACACACATTCAGCAAGATGAGTGACACCATGGTTTGGTCTGTTATTGTGTACATTGCAAGATAGTGAGCTTAACGTCACATCGGTAATATTTTTGTATATTTATACGTTGTATATGCAAGCGATATGATAAACAAGATATAACTAGCAAACAAAGTAGGACAACATCCCATGTATCATAGGGGCTTACGTTACCTCTGCTTCTTGTAGGTTATGCAGACCAGGATACACCCCATCCCTTCAGCTGCAGGCAATTGTTTGGAAGTAATTAGAATTAAAATTAGAACTAAATCAAAATTTAAAAAAATAAAATTGTGGCACACCTTAATCTACTGGGAAAGAAGTGAAACAATAGTATGACACTACTTAAACCCTGTAAAGGACACAGATGATCTCAGTTATTTATTTAATGCAATATTA